CCGCCATGTCAGTAAGGGTATTTCCACCATGGCAAGCTCACAGAGATGTGGTCAGGACAATCAAGGACACAGGACGGCTTCTCAACAACAGCTAACTAAATAGCCTAGGTCTCTCCAGCCTGCAAAAGAGATGATGGAAGGGACCATGAAGTTGGGAAGAGAAGAGGTCTACCGAATTGTGAGTCCCATGGGAACATGAGTAGGAAGAGATTACTCTTCTGGTATCCTTCAGAAGAGAGGATCGTGAGGTATTCACAGGAACAGGCTCAGATGAGGTTCAAAAGGAGGCGGTACTTCTTACCAAGCCCATAGTTAAAACGTGGTTCAAGAAGCCATATGGAAACCCTCACAAGAAAATAAGTGACTGAAGATCAAAGGCATGACGATGCTCAGGCCTTCAAAAGTGTACTGTTCTTGCAGTACTGCTCCACTGCAACTGAACCTGGACTTGATGACTGGCGAAAATCAAGCACGTTCTCAAAGAAAAGGTTCTCTTCTCTTCAGCCAGGCGCCACTACAAACAAATGATGGCAAGGCTCTGTCAGTGATGGAAGCAGGAACAACTTCTGTCCCTCACGACAAGACTGGGTCTTGGCTGGGATTTTCTACCACCATCATAGCAGTGAAAATTTTGGGGAGGATGGTGGAGAGGAGGAGACACAAGAGGTTTGTTGCAGGTCACCCAAATACAACAACCTCACCTACAGGAATACATCTAGAAAGGACGTGGTCTCCAGAGCCAGGCTACTTCACCAATGGAAAAAAAATGTCCCAAACCTCCCTGTAAAGCCTGTTGAAACCAATCCAGCTCCAGTATTTGTTTTTGAGGGGAAACTATTGAAAACATGCCCAGTAGCCACATAAGAGAAATGAACCCAAAACTGAAGTTGTTGGAACAGGGAGTCCGCTAAGAAACTCTGTTTCAACACGCCCTCAAATGCTCAATTAGAGAAATTCGTGCAGCACGTACTAGAGCTTTGCGATTGCCGCGGCAGTCGCGAAGCCTTGTGGTTTCACTGCTTGGATAACAAAATCATTAATCGTGACCATAATAGTAATTTTATAAAACCCATGCAACACATTTCCTTCTGCAAGTGAGCTGTACATATCTGAGTGAGCACACGTACCACACGTTTGATATGGTTGCTTTGAGAAACACCGAGCTTCTACAGGCAAATTACTTTTTTTTTTTTTTTACATTATCACAGTGCAAAGTCTCTGTTTCCCCCTCAGACTTTCAGAAGTGACTCATTAAATTAGAAAACCCTAGTCATTAGTAAAGAAGATTATGTTAATCATTTACTGCTGTTTACTTCTCATTGAAATGGATTTGTTACACAAGAACAGCCGGCTAATCAGGTGCCTAAG